GAAAGGGCTGGACTATGAATGGGTGTGGACGCGGCCCCTGGCACCTGGTAGACACACTCGATCAAATCAGTTGGACTTTCCGGCCCTCCAGCCCCTCACCTGGCCAGTGAAGTCCTCCGAGGGATATGCAGGGAGGCCAGGTCCCAGGGCCTCCAGGCTGGGGGCCAGGTCGAGGCTCCCTGCAGGGCTGTAGGTGGAGGGTCCATAACAGAGAGGGACACCGTGGGGGTGGCTAAAAGCAGCTGATGCGTTGTCAAAGGCCTCGTACATGGCGGCTGGGGCGGGCGGGGCCTCGGTCCAGCCCCACAGGGAGTCTGTGGGGAGGGGGCTGACTCAGACACCAGGAGGCCTGACCACAGCGCCCCTCACACCCACAGTCCCCAGCACAGAGGGGCCATTGTGGGCTGTGCAAATCTCTGACCCCAGGATTTGCATGGGGAAGGGGCGAGGAGGGAGCAGGAGAAAGCAGGGGAGAGGTGGGGGGGAGGGGCTAGCCTTGTCTTGCAAAGCTAGCTGATCCCTTCCCCTGGGCCTCAGCTCCCCCACCTGTGAAATGGGCCCACGGAGGGGAGGGAGGAGGTGGGCCCAGGTCACTCACCAGGAGCCCCCTCGGCATTGGGGTAGCTGGGGTGCTTGCAAGTGTCCAGGTCGTAGAAGACACCGTCTGAGTACTGAGAAGGGTGGGGGTGGGAGAGGGGTCATCTCAGGCTGCAGGGAGCCCCGTTTCAGCCCTGCAGGCTCCCACACAATGAAACAACCAGCAGAGGTGGGGAGTGGGGGAGAGAGACAGGCAGACAGACGGAGGAAGGGATACTGGGGAGAGAGGTACAGAAAGACAGAGAGGTAGAGAGACAGAGGGATGCCTGGTGAGAGAGGTAGAGAAAGACACACAGAGACACAGGGACATACAGAGATATGGGGAGAGGAGGCGGAGACGGTGCAGGGGAAACCCACAGAATGGAAGAGACAAAGGCACCGGGTGAGACACACAGATACACAGAGATTCGAGAGAGACAGAGCCAGCCAACTCCTGATAAGACATGGCTCCTGGGGTCCCTGATGGGGCAGGCCTGTCACTGTTGGGCCCCTAGTACTGTGCTGGTCCATGGTTGGCAATAGAGCCGGGGGACAGTGTGGAAGAATTTGTCCTGGTCTTGTCTGCCACGGTGGGGGATGGGAGGTAGAGGAGGAGGTTGTTGTTGTTGTTGCTGTTGTGCCGTCGGGGTCGGCCCCGACTCATAGCGACCCCTCCTTAGGTTTCCTAGGCAGCTATCACTACGGAAGTAGGACTGCCCAACCTTCCTTCCGAGGAGTGGCTGGTGGGTTTGAACCGCCAGCCTTCTGGTTAGCAGTCAAGTGCCTTAGGCACTATGCTACCAGAGCTCCTAGAGGAGGAGGTATTATATATATTTTTTATTGTGCTTTGGGTGCAAATTTACAAAGCGAACTTGTTTTACATGCTAATCTTCTCTGTATTTGTCCAGTTTGAGTATATGTGCTACTGAAGCAAGCACAGAAGGAGGTGTTTTTGCAAAGCAGGGTCTCAACGCTTGTTTGCGGGCCGTGTGGCTTCAGTTCAAGTGCGGTGTTAGTTATCAACATGCAGTAAAGAGGAAAGTCTTGAACCTTAGCGGCCCAGTGAAAAGGTTGGCAACCGAAAGGTTGGCAGTTCAAACTCACCAGCAGGAGAAAGACCTGCAATCTGCAGCCTAGAAAGATGACAGCCTTGGACACCCTGTGGGGCAGTTCCTCTAGGAACACTACAGTTCCTCTGTCCTCTAGGGGCGCTGTGAGTCAGAATGGACTCCACAGCAGTGGGTGTGGTTTGGGCTTTGCTTCTGTGAAGATTGACAGCCTTGGAGACCCTGTGGGCAGTTCCACTCTGTCCTCTAGGGGCGCTGTGGGTGAGAATGGACTCCAGGCAGGCAGTGGGTGTGGTTTTGGGCTTTGCTTTCATGAAGATTGACAGCCTTGGAAGCCCTGTGGGGCAGTTCCACTCTGTCCTCTAGGGGCGCTGTGGGTTGGGACTGACTCCAGGACACACACTAACAGCATAGTCATTCGATGGAGTACTATACAGTGAGAAAAAGAACCAACTGCTGACACACACTCAGTGCTGAGTGAAAGGGTAGCAAAGGGGCCACACTGTAGGATTTGCTTTATAGAAAGTTCAAGAACAGGAAGAACATGAGAGCAGGTGGCAGCCAGGAAGGAACACATGGAATCTTTGGGAGCGATGGAGATGGTCTCTCTAGATCTTGTTCTGGTACAGAGGTGCAGTCGCATGTAAAAATGCATTGAGGCGTGCTGTGCACAGAGAATCCGTCACTTTGTGAGGCGATTTGACCCACAGCGCCCCTAGAGGACACAGTGGAACTGTCCCACAGGGCTTCCAAGGCTGTCAATCTTCATGAAAGCAAAGCCCAAACCAAACCCACTGCCTGGAGTCCATTCTGACCCACAGCGCCCCTAGAGGACAGAGTGGAACTGCACCACAGGGTCTCCAAGGCTGTCATCTTCACAGAAGCCAACGCTCATCTTGCTCCCACAGAGCGGCTGGCTGGATAAAACTGCCAACCTTTTGGTTAAGCAACTAAATCCTAACCTCTGCATCACTGGGGTAATCTTCCTCCCGCAGAGTGGCTGGTGGGTTCGAACCACCAGCCTTCGGGTTAGCAGTCAATGCCTTAGGCACTACGCGACCAGAGCGCCTTCACACATACATCAGCGAGGTTTTATTTCTCAGACTGGGCAGTAGATTCCTGGGGGCTGGATATGTATGTCTGAATCAGTTTTTAAAACACACACACACACACACACACACGAGGGAAAAGAGGAAAAAATCAATGTGCTGAATGTGGGATGAAAGGAGACAAAGAAGCCAGAGAAAAAAAGGCACACACACTGCACACAGTACACACCCAGCACATACAATGCACATATGCAACACATACCTACAACATACCTAGCACACACACACACCACGCACACATACAACATACAGAGCACACACAACACACATACCAATCACACTGCACACCCACAACACACAAACACATACACAGAACACACTGACAGAACACACACAACACATACAACACACACAGTACACGCACAGGCAAAGAAGCGGAGCCAAGAAGGGGAAAGACAGGGAAACATGTCACTGATGGAGACAGAGAAGGTGGACATACTTGAGGGAGAGACGTCCAAGGAGAGATTCAGACACACCAAGTGACAGGAAGGAGCAGAAGGGTAAACTGAGGCAGGGAACCAGCGACTCCTCGGAGGGAGGTCTCCGTGGGCCATGTGGGTCCTCACCACCCCTCCCTGGCCCTCAGGGGCCCCGACTCACCAGACAGCTCAAGTGTGGCCCGTCCAGCCTGGCGGGGGAGAGACACAGGGACATGTCAGGGCGCCTGCAGCCGCGGGAAGCCGGCCGGGGGGCGGGGGGCCGGCAGTGCTGCAGCTGTGGCCGTCACAGCTTGTCTGCTGTGAGTCTGCGGCCGGCCCCACCACTTTCTCCCCACTCCGCATTGGGGCAGGAAGTGGGAGGTAGGGGCCAGGCAAATGTCCCTCCCTGCCAGGATTTGCATAGACCTAGGCTGGGGGGCAGGAAAAGTGAGGGAGAAAGTCCCCAGAGAGGAGGTGAGGGTGCCAAGGGCAGGTGGAGGTGGGGAGGGGCCCGGCCAGAGGGGCCCACTGGGGAGAGCAGGAGGGAGACGGAGGAGAGATCCCTGGACAGAGAAGCAGGGACGCGGGGCAAGACTCAGAAGAGGCGAGCGGTGGAAGGGGCGCGTGGGGAGAGGGTGCGCCGAGTCTTTACTGAGCCCCGGAGGCAGACAGAGGAGCACAGAGGCGGCAGACGGCGAGGCCAGCTGACGGGCAGAGACAGACGGAGGGAAGGCCGGAGAGAAGCAGGTGGACAAAACTGGACAGAGGCAGAAAACGGACAGGGACAGGGAAAGTGACAGTGATAGGCAGACAGAGAAAATAGGGAAGACATGGAGGAAGACAGAGACCCAGCAAGGCAGAGGGGACAGCGCGAGCCTGGCAGGGACAGAGACTGGGGCAGAGACACGCCTGGAAGAGGCCAGAGTACGAGGGAACACCTTGCCCGGGGCAATGAGAGTTTTAGGGACAGGGAGGACTAGGGTGGGAAAGGAGGATGGAGAAGTGAGGGCTGGGGGAGGGCCCCAGGGGGCAAGAGTGCACCCCCCCACAGGCAGTGAGGGTCCAGGGGCCCCCACTTACTGTGCAGCCTCCAGGGCGAGCATGGTGACACTGGGCCAGGCTGCCTGCCGGCCGCAGTCACCACCCATTTATACCCTGGCCCAGCCCCCAGGGAGGGGGTGCCGGGCGGGCGCGGGCTCAGCCCTCCTCAAAAACCCCCTAGGGGAGGGAGTGGGGGGGCGAGTTGCGCAACCCCTCAGTCACGTGGTAGGGAGAAAGGGCCTGGATTTGGGGATCCCCAAAGTTGGAGGAGGGGATGGGTAAGCTGACCCTGAGGGAAGTGGGGTTTTTGGGAGGCCATGGAAAAGGATGGACTGAGAAAGAGGGGGTGTCTCTGGGGCCGGTGAATGACTAGGAAAGAGGGGTGAGGGACACTGAGCCCAGGCACCAAACTTCAGCCCCAAGAGTGGAGGAGTGGGAGTGGGGTGCTGGGGCCTGGGGGGGGGCGAAAGACAGGAGGACCTGTGTCCTTTGAGGTCACACAGGCTTGAAGGTGACCAGCCGGCCCCAGCCCGAAGGGGACCACCAGCCCCCAACAGTGGAAATACCCGTGGGTGTGTGATTGGGGGGGGGTCCCCTTGGTCAAATTGGGGAGTGGAAACTTGCTTTCCCGGGGCTGCCCCAGGGCCTGGTGGAAACAGGCCAGCACCTGGTGGGTAGGGCAACTGCCACGCACCCCAGGGACACTCAGGGGGAGGGGGCAGGGGGCGGCTCTGGCCACCGGCTGCACGGAGCAGAGGGGCTGGCACCGCCGTTCACTGGGCTGCACGGGGAGGGAAACTGAGGCAGGACTGGCAGCAGCTGGACTCTACGGTGGCATGCAGGGTAGCCCAGGGGTCCTGCTGGGCAGACACGGCCCCCCCCCCGCAGGCCCTGGTAAGAGCGTAGGAGACTGGACTTGTCCCCCAGAGACCACAGAGACTGGGTAACAAAATGACCTTTATTTACGCCGTGCCCCGGTGGGGCCCGGTCACCAGGCCTCGGGGCCCGGCGGCCCGAAGCGCTGCAGCAGCCGCTCCTGATCCCCCAGGTCCTTGCGCACCTTCTTGCGCATGTAGAAGATGGGGCAGTCCCGGCTGCGGGAGGGACGGCTCGGGTCAGGGCCGGCGGGCACAGGTGGCCCGAGTCCCGGGCGGCCCCCAGCCGGGTGGGGGGCCGCGAGAGCACAGGCCCTCGGGCCGGGGCTGTTCCCAGGACTTTGGCCCCTCCTGCTGCCCCCCGCCCGCCTCCTCCCACCGCCGGGCTGTTTGCTCAGCGGGCAGGGGGAGCCGATAACAGTGGGTGCCCGCTGTGGCGTGGCCACCAGCCGTATATCACCTGTCACCTGCTGTGGGAACCTGCCCCGCCCACCTGTTCCCTGGGGAAAGCCGCCCCACCCCGAGGGTGGGGGACCCTGGAGTGGGAGTGTGTGCCCAAGAGGGCCACCACCCCCTAGGAAATCCTGGGGGCCCGGTCCTATCCCCCCCCCAAGGTACCCTCGTCCTCCCACGGGGCTGGCCATGGGCCACCCACACGAGGACAGCAGGGCCCTGCCAGAGGAGTGGGGGGCCCTGCCGTCTGCGCCGACCACCAGCCGGGCCGGGAGCCGTGGGGGGCACCTGGTACAGATGACGTCCTCGTGCAGGCTGCCCTGGCAGCGCTGGCACTGTGTCCACAGGCGGGAGAAGCGCTCCTCCAGGGCGTTGAGGTGCCACACCTGCGCGGGGCAGGCGGCGTGCTGAGCAGGGCAGGCCCAGGGCCCCCGCGCGGCCAGCCCGGCCCCCGCCGCTCCCGGCCTCACCTCCTTCTGATACAGCTCCGACTCCCGCGGCCGGCAGAACTTGCACACGGCTCCTGGGGGCAGGGGGGTCAGCACCGGCCAGGCGCCCCCTCCCGGCCCCGCCCCGCCCAGTGCCCGGGCCTCTCGAAAGTCCCCACAGGCTCCGAACAAGGGAGCGAGTGTTGTGGGAAAACTCCCGGGGGGAAGTCCCGGGGCGGGGCGCAGACCCTCCTGGGGGGGCGGGCCGAGGGGCGCCCCCACCTGGGGCAGGTCCATCTGGAGGCAGTGCTGGCTGGGGGAGGGGAGCGGCGGCGGGGGTCTTGCGCTGGTATAGGGTGGAGCGGGGGCTTCGCCCTGGTGTGGGGTTCAGTGGGGGGTCTCGCCCAGTGCAGGGAGAAGTGGGAGACATACCCACCCGTTAAGGGGCAGAGCGGGGGGCTCGCTCCCGTGTAGGGCGGGATGGTGGCAGGGGTCTCCCCAGTGCGGGGTGGATCGTGGGCCTCTCGTGGTGCGGGGCACATAGGGGGCTCGCCCGTGCGGGGCGGCGCAGTGGGGGGCTCGCCCGTGCGGGGCGGCGCAGTGGGGGGGGCTCGCCCGTGCGGGGCGGCGCAGTGGGGGACTCGCCCGTGCGGGGCGGCGCAGGGGGGGCTCGCCCGTGCGGGGCGGCGCAGTGGGGGACTCGCCCGTGCGGGGTGGCGCAGGGGGGGCTCGCCCGTGCGGGGCGGCGCAGTGGGGGACTCGCCCGTGCGGGTGGCCCGGGGGGGGCTCACCCTGGTGACTGAGCACGGTGCGGCAGCCGATGCAGCAGCTGCGGCGAGTGGTGAAGGCCAGCAGGCCGCCCACCTTGCCCGTGAGCACGGTCTTGCAGCGCGTGTGCTCGCCCCCTGCAGGACGAGGGCGGGCAGTGGGCCGGGGTCCCCGGGGCTCTGCACCGCGCCCCGCCCCTCCCGCAGCAGCGCGGCCTCGGCGCCCCCCGCCCCGCCCCTTACGCAGCAGCACGGCCTCGGCGCGGCCCTCGCCCAGGATGGGCTCGAATATGCGCAGGAGCGGCTTGGCCAGCTGCTGCTCCAGGTAGTACTGCGTGTCGATGGGCAGGCTGTGCTCGAGCACGAAGAGCGGGTCCTGCGGGGCGCGGGGGCGCGGGGTCACCACGGGACGGAGGGCAGCGTCCCCACCCCCACTGGGGAGGGAGGGGTCGGGTCCCCATGGGACATGGAGGGGCAGTGGGCATCATGGCGGGCTTGGAGGGTCCCCGGGAGACAGAGGGGTGGAGGTCACCCCCAGGGGACATGAGAGGGCCCACAGTCATACTGGGTGGCCAGAACTGGGGGAGGACCCAGTGACAGGAAGTGGATGAGGGACTTGGGGACAGTCAGACGGGGCACTGTGTGGGGCACAGCCACATGCTGGGGCAGGGGGAGCTGTGATCACATGTCAGGGAGCTGAGGGACGGGGCCTCGGAACCCAAGGGTCCCCCAGACAGACTGGGCAGTGGTACAGCGCCTGGGTCCAGAGTAGGTCAGAGGTCATGAGAGTCTCTGGGGGCCAGGAGTGGGGCCCCTCTCACAAAGTGAGGGTCAGAGTTCAAGGGGGGACGAGCTGAAGGGGGAAGCCATGAGTGGAGGAGGTAGGGCAGGAACTAGGGGTGGGGTGGGGGTGGCCGGGAGAGGGCCGTGAGGTCAGAGGTCACGGGAGCTGCACATGTAGGTGGGAGGGGCAGATCATCACTAAGGGCATCAGACAGGTCCACAGCACCATGGACAGACAGGTGAAGGCCAGGGGCCCTGTCTGTCAGGGTGCTGCGGGGGGGGGGGGGGGGGGGGGGACTGACACCTGTGTTCCCCGAGAGGGGCCGAGCCCTGGGTCTGAGAGAGGGGGGACTGGGAGACAGGAACACAGCATCACGGAGCATCCCCGAGTGGCTGAGGGCTCCAGGGAGTCCCGGGAGGCAGTTACCAAGGTCCCGTGGGGCCCTGGCAGGAGCTGCCCTGCCCTGCCCCCGCCCCTGCTGGAAAGGAGAAGTGAGAGCAGGGGTGCGGGGGCAGAGGCCTGGCAGGTGGGGCTGACCTCCGACTTCATGTAGGCAGCCACGCCCTTGGCGGCCCCGATGATCACATAGGGGACACGGTCACCCAGGCTGGGCGCGCTGCCGGGGTCCCGTTTCCTCATCCTGCAGGGGCACAGGGCGGCGGTGAGTGAGGCCAGGTGGGGCGGCCGGGCTCACAGGAAGTGGTGGCCCAGCTGGCCCAGGGGGAGGCAGTTTCTCTCCCACCAAGCGCACCCCCGCCGACCTCTCGGCCAGCTCCACGTGGGCCTGCTTGCCGGCGTAGTCGGCGGCTGCACGGGTCAGCTCCTTGGTGATGACCAGCTGCGAGATGTCAATACGGTTGCACAGCAGGTCTGAGATGACGTCCTGTGCGTGGGCCACTGCGCTGGCAGGGTCCCTGTGGAGGGCGGGGCCAGGGGCATCACAGGGCCACCAGGGCCAGGCTGAACCCCACCACCTGCACAGACGCAGAGCGGGCCGGGCCACAGAGTGGGGGGGCCGGGCACAGCTCACAGCTGCCCACCCACTCTTTCCACTGCTCCACTGCGGTGGGGGGGGGGGTGGGACTGACAGCTGTGTCCCCAGAGAGGGGCCCAGCCCGGAGTCTGAGGGAGGGGGGACTGGGGGCCCAGACTCAGGGTCTGAGGGATGAGGGGGCTGGGAGCTGGGGGGTCAGGCCTAAGGGAGGAGGAGCTGGGGGGTCAGGACTCCCAGGTCTGAGAGAAGAGGGGCTAGGGGTCAGGACTGCCGGGTCCCAGGGAGGAGGAGGAGGAGGCTGGGGGTGGGGGAGGTCAGGGCTCCGGGGTCCCAGGGAGGAGGGGCGGGGGCTCCCCTCACCGGTCGATGAGCAGTCGACGCAGCGAGGCGGTGACGAGGTTGGCCACGAGAGGGCAGTTGTCCCTGCGCACGGCCTCCAGGCCCTTGCAGTCCATGCGGTCGTGGGCGTCGGGGCGGGAGGAGAAGAGCAGGCCCGCGTAGCGCTTCTTGCTGATGAGCAGGTAGGGGAAGTAGACCTGGGGGCCCATTCCCAAGGCCAGGACTCAGACACTCGGGGAGATGGGCCTGACACCCCGCTGTGCTGTCAGGGTACAGCTCCAGGGCCCCACATCTGGGGTGGACCCAGAGCACCCCAAATGTGGGTGTGCAACAGACCTCTGAGGCAGACGGGGGACAGTGAGGCCCCAGCACGGACTCCCCAGCACAAGGAGCCCCGAGCCTGAGCGTGGCTGTGTCCTGAGGCCTCAGCCCACGTGGGACTCGTGGGGAAAGAATGTGAGTGTGAGCTGCCCTGCATCTGCGACTGACACCCGCCAGGGTGGGGGCCTGGAGGATGATGCCCAGGCCCGAGACAGGCCCACATTGGGGTCCCCGCAGGGCAGCCCCCAAATTTGAGGCCAGGACTGGGAAACCCCAAAGCCAGAGAGACTCTGAGCCTTTGAAAAAGATCCACACGACAGACATCACTGTCTTGCAAAGTCCAAGGATCCAGATGTTTCCAAAACCAAGGAACCTGTCAGGGTTTGGATCACGTCCCGTAAAATGACAGGCTGTGCATTCACGTGGAGCGCCACTCACAACGGCCATACACGGAAGAGCAGAGACGCCATCAACAGACGGGCGGAGAAGGACAATGTGCTCTACACCCCCCCCCCACTGCTTTCAAGTCAAGCCTGACCCACAGCGCCCCTAGAGGACAGAGTGGAACTGCACCACAGGGTCTCCAACGCTGTCTGTCAATCTTCACAGAAGCAAAGCCCAAACCACACCCACTGCCGTGGAGTCCATTCTGACTCACAGCGCCCCTAGAGGACAGACTGGAACTGCACCACAGGGTCTCCAA